TCGGCCGGCCCTAAATATCATTTTTTAAAAAGACAGATTACCGTGTCCCTAAAATCCAGCTATGTGAAATTTCCAAAAGACACATCTCAACAGACACACCTCAACATAAAGACTCAAAAAGTTGAAAGTAAAATAATGGGGAAAAGTTATGTCAGGCAAACACTAACAAATATTTTTGTAGACCTATATTAATATCAGGAAAACATATACTTAAAGCTAAAAAAATATAGAAAAAAATTCAGTGACCACATTAAGACCCTAATATTTTCTTTTGTGGATGGTACAGGAGCACTTTTTTTGTTTGTTTAGTTTTACTGAGTTCATAGGAGCAGGAAGAAGATCGGAGTTAGATGGGAGGGAGAAAGTAAGAAAGAAATAGTTGTTTAGTATGAAGGAGACTTCTCAGGTAGAGCCAAGTAAGATGAGAAAGTTTTCAGATTTTAGTACCTCACCTTGTTATTTAAATGTATGCCCCTGTCTGAACCTTATATTATGATGTCTTGACAATAATAATTCACATTTTTCTAAGAAATTTGCAGATTGGATGTGCCAGAGTTTTAGTGGGACTTCCCATAACCTGAGAGCTCAACTAATACAAAAGCCTTTTTGTATGTTTTGCTTCTGAAAATAATTACTTGAAGAAAAAGAAGTTTCCAGCATATAGTTAAAAGAATTGTTCTCCCCTGAAGATAAGACTTGTGAATACCCCATAGAGGAGGCAATTGAAAAGTAATGAGGTGAAAATGGATTATTCACTCACTTCTATCATGACAGGAAGAAAAATTCCCTTTATAAGAAATTAGCTCGCACCTTCACTTCCTTCAAAATGGATTCAGCATTGGAATAAAGGCAAGCTAAAAGGAGGAGGAAATTTCGTTTGGTTATTCACTTTTAACCATCTACTTTGTATAAGGATTTTACTCAGTGCCAATGGTATGAATAAGTGTTTAATACATGAAAAACACATAATGTTAGCCCCAGGAACTGAAAATCTAGTAAAGACTATCCTAAGGATAGCAGGGTTTCTAGTGTTGTAACTTGTCCTATTCACCTATTCATATACCTCTCTCCACAACTCCACAGGAGTGGAAAGACAACCCACAGAATGAGATAAATATAGGCAAATCATATATCTGATCCAGGACTTGTATCTAGAATATATGAAGACTGCTTAAAAGTCAGTAATAAAAAGACACATAAACTACTTTTAAAAATAGGCAAAGGATCTGAATAGACATTTCTCCAAAGAAGATATATGAATGGCGAATAAGCTCATGGATTGATGCTCAACATCATTTGGCTTCAAAGAGATGCAAATCAAAACCACAGTGAAATACCACTTCACATCCACTAGGATGGCTATCATCAAAATGTTAGACAACAACAAGTACTGGCAAGGATGTGAAGAAATTGGAACCCTCCTGCATTACTGGTAGGAATGTAAAATGGTGCAGCCACTGTGGTAAACACACTGGCAGTTCCTTAAAACATTAAACATATGGAATATTATTCTGTAATTAAAAGGAATGGAGTATTAATTCATGCTACAACATGGATGAACTTTGAAAACATTATGCTAAAACACAAAGGACCACATATAATATGATTCCATTTATATGAAATGCCTAGAATAAGCAAATCTACAGAAGTAGAAAGTATATTGGTGGAGCCAGGAAATGGGGTGAAAGACAATTGGGAACTGACTGTTAATGGGAATGGGGTTTCTTTTCAGGGCATTGAAAATGTTCTCAAACTTCGTGATGATACTTGCATAATTCTGTAAATACGCTAAAAATCACTGAATTGCACACCTTAAATAAGTGAATTGTATGGTATGTAGTTATATCTCCATAAACCTGTTTTCTAAAGTGCTACCTAATGTGAACAGGCCAAAGGCACCTGATTAATTTAGTCAATAGAGCATGAGACTTAATGTGAATAGGCAGGTTGCCAGTTAGATACCTGAGTGGAAGGGGCTGACAACTCAGATGGCTTCCCTGATAGTTACAGAATAGTCCTCATCAAGTCCAGAGCAAGGTAAAGATTCAGATGGGGATGTTGGTAATGCCAAACAGCTTTAATTCCATTAGGCCTACACTTGATCAGGAGAGATGGCTACACAGCACAAGCCACAAGAAATCCTAATCAACCCAATTTATTGCTCCTACAGTCTACAATCCCAGGGCCCCCAACTCTCTCCAGAACTGTACTGATGCCTCTCAAAACCACAAGTTATCTAATCTGTCCCAACTTTGTACTATCAAATACATGACTGCATAATCTCATCTGTCATGGCTAGGAAAATAATAGTCCTCAAGCAGGGACTGTATGCCAGGGACTGACTCATTTAATTTTTACAATAGTGTTATGAAATATGCATTCATGTTATCATTTCCATTTTACAGATGGACAGACTGAGGCACGGAATGGTTCGGCAATTTGGCCAAGGTCACAGAGCTACTCAGTGGCACAGCAAGAATTTAAACCCAGTTTGGTGCCAACAACAAAGTGCTTAACCAATATGCCATTCTGCATTCCAAGAAAAGCCCTTTCACAACTTTCCTGGTCACTCTCTCCACTTTTTTTAAAAATTGGGGAACAGTGTGTTTTTCAGGACCCATCAGCTCCAAGTCAAGTAGTTGTTTCAATCTAGTTGTGGAGGGCATATCTCAGTGGTCCATGTGGGGATCGAATTCACAACTTTGGTGTTATGAGCACTGTGCTCTAACCAACAGAGCTAACTGGCCTCCCCACTATCTCCACTTTTTGCACATGTGTAGTTATTTAGTAAAGAGAAATTCTGCGTCTTATTCACCTGGTTCCCATTTGTCCCGCCAAACATAGTTTTCATAAGGTTCAATTTCACTGCTCTCCAATCTGAGCCCAACATTGTTGTCTCTATTATCAGTTTACTCAGCCTCCAACCCTAGTAGCACATCAATAAAAGTGCACAAAATTTTGTGCAAACATTCAGCGCAAAACTGAGCCTTTCCTCCATCTCTTTTAAGTACTGTCTCTTTTAAGTACTCTCAACACTCTTCTAGTCCCCAGCATTATTACCCCATGCCAGTAGCCACTCATTATAGCCATAGGACAGGTCATATCCTCTGGGGTTCTGGGGACATAAAATGAGGGAAGGTTTCAATGAAGAGATGTCACCTGCTCTGGTCCCTGAAGGGCAGGTATAAATGGAGGGATATTTATATATACATTCCAAAATAAGCAAAGTATAAATAAATGCATGAATAGCAGAATGTCTAAGAGCAAAGACAGTTGTTGGTTGAAATCCCAGCTCTACTAGCTGTGTCATCTTGGACAACTTATTTAACCTCTTTCAACTTCTGTTTAAAGTCTTAAAAATCTACATAATAATACTTCCTCTCCAGGGGTCAGGAGGATTAAATGAAATCATAATGAATACCAGACACATTCTAAACTCTCAACTAAGAAAAGCAATACGTAAACATGAGTCATTTTTGGCAAACAGTATTGGTTAACTTAGCCAATGTTGATGAATGGGAGAGAAGTCTGGATATGGTAAATTGAGACCAGACGACGATAGGTCTTCAAAGATTAGAAAAAATTTGCAAAAATAAGAATACAGCAATCAAAGTCAAAGGTTGTGCATACAGGAGAGAGAGAAAGAGAGGAGGAAGACACAGAGAGAGGTTGCTTTAAAGAATAGGCAGAATCGGGCAAGTTACTTGGAACGCCTCTGTAATTCATGAATCTCTCATTTATTGTCTAGAACTCCCATTACATTGTGAACGCCATGCGGTATGGAACATGCCTATTTTGTTCACCACTGTATATCCAGAACCTTGCACAGTGGCTGGCCCATAGTATGCACTCAGTAAATATATTTTTAAGGAGTGAATGAATCGTGATGGTGGGGAGTGGGGTAACCAAAAAAAAAAAAGATTCCAAGAATTCAAGCATTGATGACTGAAAGAATGTGGAAGGTTGTTAGTGCAGAGGAAATGAGTTTAAATTTTGGAGCCTTATGAGTTTGAGAAACCAGTAATGCACTCTGGTGTTCATATTCCGCTGTTTCGAATGGGAAACTGGAGCTCAGAGAAGCTGTGGGGGGTAAGGATGTGTTGAAATTTAGTAGCATATAAGTAGCAATCGAGAGCACGAGGGAGGCGCGAGGTGGGAGGCGGGAGATTTAGAAAAGGACACACCCCCGGATGTGACGCCACTACGAGGTGAGCGTAGGCCGGAAGCGGTTCTTTGGCGAGCTAGCGGCAGTTAGAGCTGACCGAAAGACGAGGAGCTGAGGGCGAAAAAAAAAAAATTGAAGAATGAGCCGATACAGAGAAGACTGGTATCACGGAGAAAGACGAAGGCACCATGGAAGAAGCGAATATTATTATGAGGAGTCGCGTAGGAGGTACTCACGGTAAGACTATACAGACATGGAATTGATTTTAACCCCCGGGAGTTGGTGGTGGCTTTGAGATGAGCGGTTTTAAAGGATGACGGGGAATGAAGTCAGAGTGCAGCGATAGTTAAATTGGTTGACCTTGAATACCAACTAGTTTATGACCCTAAGCAGGTTACTTTAATCACTCTGCATCTTAGCTATAAAATGGAAATGAATTTTATAACGTCACAGCGTTATTGTACGTGATAAGTGAATATGGGTTAACATGTTTAGTAAAGTGCCTTGCTCATTGTCCCCACTCAGGGACATGTTAGCTGTCGTTAGTACGTCATAGAAGGTGGTGAGCGGCGCCGAAGACGAAGCCGCACTTTCGGGCTGTAAGAATAGGGGAACTGGATGAGCCTTTACCACTGACGAGGGCAAAATCAAATAGTGAACAATCTTAGGAAATACTACTGAGGTGTTGGGGTTTAATTCAGTGAGGATTGAGTCCAGAATGTTCCAGATCTCTCAACTGCTCTCTTCCAGTCATGCGCAGTATCGTTGCGCGCGCTTCTGGGTTCTCGATCGGTCGCGCGCCGTACAATCGCGCGCTCTTTTCCAAGCTCCACCTATGATTCCTATAGGCCGCAGGTCGGTCTTGCCTCAGGTTTCTCTTTTGATCTTCAGCTAGCCTTGACCCCGCCTCTTGAGGCAAAGAACGCCCCTTATTGGACCTCTTAGTTGTTTTTCGTGTGTCTCAGGGCATGGGGTTGGAGAAGTGGGCGGCGCGTCAGAGGAATTTTTTTTTTCTTCCAAACTGGATCTCAAACATGTAAGCACGCAAGGCGGGTGGGAGGGTACGGTGGGAACTGAAGGGAAGCGACTTAAGGTTGGAACATCGGGATCCTTTAATCAATGCACCCAGCTACTTCCGGGAGACAATGGGCGGGTAGAGAATTCCAAGTGTTTCAAGGGTTTCGCTGCCTTGCTAAATATTTGGTGCTCCCACAGCAGAGAGAGCTGGCCACGTGAGAGCGTAGAGACTCCGCTACTGACTGCACAGGCTTCTCCCAGCTCCCCGATGGCCGCGGCTGTGGTGAGTGCAGGGGCCGCGCCGCGGGGTGCCTGGGCTTCCCGGCGGCGGAGGGGAGGGGAGGGACGCCGGGCGGCTGCTGCTCACGTGGTCAAGTGGCGAATCAGGGCCTGGACCGCCGGGGTCCAGGGCGGGACCCGCTCTTAGCAGACCCCCTCCATCCGTACCTTCCCGACCCCCGACCCCACCGTCCGCGGCTGTGCAATCTCTTTCGGTTGATGAAAGGACCCTAAAATGGGAACTAGCGAAAGGCGGCAGTGTTGCGGTCTGTTGTTATGGCTTTCGGTCCCTCTAACTTTCCGTCACCGAAGAAATAAATGGAACTGGTTCTTAATTCGAATAAATAGGCTGGGCTCGGTAAATGGCTGGGGAAGAAAGTACTTAATCTTCCTGCAGGAGAAAACCCCAACAGCGTTCCTTTTCTTCAGATTTACAATTCCTTATAAACGACGGTGAATTTTTATGTAATGTGAGAAAGTTCCCTAAGTACCTAGTTTTTTAAGTAGATCGTTGAACTTTTCTTATTTTTTTTCCATTCAACAACTTTATTTTGGTCATAACTTCTCACTTGAAAAGAGAACTCAACGCTTCCCTAACTTAATTCAGTGGCAGTTCACCCACCCCCACCCCCACTTTTTTTAAGGTTCAGACCGCAACGTTTTTATTAAGGTGAATGTTTTGTAAAATGTTGAAAGCCTAACGTGCTTAAAGTACTGTCCAAGCAAAGATTATAAGTTTATATCTGAATTGAGAAACAAAAATCAAACTCACTAATGAGGGGTGAATGAGTGTATCCTAAAGAGAAGTACCTAAAACTAGTGAAAATTTTAAAAATTGGAAACTTTGGAGCTCGAACCTTTAAAATGTCCAAATTTATATGGAAGAATTGGACTATGTATGGAGCTACATAAATCGTCACCTTCTGTTGGTGGTTTTGTGTTTGTGGAGCTGGAGGGGTGGTAATGTACTTCTCTCAATTTTTTTTTGTAGGATTTTAAAACTTATGTAGATCAGGCATGTAGAGCTGCTGAGGAATTTGTCAATATTTACTATGACACAATGGACAAAAGAAGACGGGTGAGTGTTATAGACTCTACTGCTCTTTATTAAATGCCAGTTCTTTTATTGAGCCCCCATTCAACTGACTTGCAAAAGTGTTTGTTTACTGTGGAATTGTTCTTTAAAAGTGCATTGCTTAGCAAAGGATTCGTATGGTATTAGGAAGTGTGGACTCTGGAATCACATTCCAGCTTTGTGTTTATGTACCTCTGACCTTGGACAAGTTGCTAACCTCTCTTAACCTCATTTTATTTTTAGAGTGGTAAGTGGAAATCAATTTAAATACTGCACTTAACATAGGATCTAACATGTATTTATTTAAATATGTTACATTTTCTCAGTGCTATCATTTAACCAATTTAGTTAAAATAGTATTAGTGCTAGTGAAGGGGTCTGCCATTTTAGGGAATGTCCCCAGATTGTTCCTTTAATTACAAATATTAATAGATAATTTCTAATTAAAGCTCACCACTATAGCTGGCACTCACAAACAGAATCCACATGGCTTGGCTACTTTTAGTCTTCAACAGAGCAGCTTCTCACTTCGTCAGCATTTTTTT